TGTCCCTGGAATATTAGGACCAAAGACCTGATCATGGTGTTGGCACAGAGCTCCGTGCCTTTCGTGGAAGGCTCAGGGTCCTCGTTTGATGGCTTGGGTATCTTCATGGCCGCACGACATTTAGGAGGACAGCTGTGTGCCACGATTCTGACTCAGTGGTGACTCAGGGCTTTGCTAAATGCCCCATTGTGGTCAGCGATGGGGATAGTGGTTCTGTGGATCTTAGAGCCAACATAACACATGCTTGGTCCTGTGCAAAGGGATTAAATTTGGAAATCTTACCCTCTTAGAGGCAGCCTGGTGGTTTTCCAGGTTTCTTTTTGCTCTGCCAAATGCAGAGTAAGCAAGAACGACAAGGAGTGCATTACACACAGTATGGCTTTTTCCTGTTCCCCAATCCCCTCAGGCGGCGCTGGTGTGGTTTTGACCGTGACACTTGCTCTGGAAGTACTCATGACTACTGATGCTGCAACAGCATTTAGACATCACCCTTGGGTTTGCAGAAAGGGCAAAAAGAAAACAGGGTGTGAGCACTGAGTACCCCAGCCTGCCTGTTTTTCATGCTTGTGTTCATCACGTTTTTGTTAAATGCCTTCTTTGGGGTGAAGTGAACCACAGTGATGAGACTCGTGGGCTCCAGATTCAGAACGGCTCTGTGTTCAAACTTAAGCTCTCCCGCTTCCAGCTGTGTGACCTGGGGCAAGTCACTTTTCTGTACCTCCCTTTCATCGACTATAAAACTGGGACAGCAGGACACCCACACCTCTCTTTCTGGGGTTGTTTCGAGGATTGAGATCCTCCACTCCGTGCATTTTTCTGATCAGTATCACGTGCTGGGCTCTAGAGACCAATGGAAGCCCTGCCCTCCTGGTACTTACAGTCTGGTTGGGGAGACAGATGGTAATTGAATAATCATGCAAGTATAAAACTACCTGGGTGGGGCCTGACCTCAAATGAGACACTAGAGAAAGCTTCCCTGACCAAGTGCGGCTTGAGCTCAGGCCTGAAGGATGTCTGCATTGACTCCGTGAACCGGAGGAGGAAGGGCATTCTAGTCTGGTCAGAGGAAGCTGGTGCAAAATCCCTGTGGGTCCTTGGACATGAAGGTGCTTTGGACATTTTTTTAAAGAAGATTTTATGTATTTGTTAGAGAAAGCATGCATATGAGCGGGAGCAGACTCCCTCTTGAGCAGGACGCGGCACCCAGACACCCGACTTTGGATGTTTGAAAGATGGAAAGGAGGCCAGTGTGGCAGGGTTTCAGGGAGCAAATAGTTGGCCGGGGCAGATGACCCCCCGTGCAGAACTTTGTGGGTGTGCTTAGGTTAAATTAGGTTTTTACCTAATTTAAAAGCAAGGGGAAGTCCCTGCAAGGTTTTAGGTAGAGGAAGGACATAATCCAATCATATTTTGCCAGTATCACTGGCTGCAGAGTGGAAAATGTCTGCGAGCAGAGCCACGCGGAAGCTGTTAGGACACCCATGACCAAACTGTCACCCAAGTTCCCTGGATGGGTGACAAGGATTGCCTACATATGAACATACAGGTACTCAGGATGAATCCCAGATCTGTGGGATCACAGTGAGGTCAAGGCTGGTGGCCTTTTCAGGCAACCTGGGCAATCTTGCTATTAGTACTGTAGAAATGACGAGAACCTAATTCCACTTGAAAAGCAATTTTTTTTTAAAAGATTTTATTTATTTATTTGACAGAGATCACAAGGAGAGAGGCAGGCAGAGAGGGAAGCAGGTTCTCCACAGAGCAGAGAGCCCGACGCGGGGTTCGATCCCAGGACCCTGAGATCACGACCTGAGCCGAAGGCAGAGGCTTAACCCACTGAGCCACCCAGGTGCACCTGAAAAGCAATTTTTAAAGCATAAGTTCCTGTAGAGCCAAGACTGGATGGTTTGACTGTGTATTGTGTTTTTTGCCCGTGACTAATAATTTGTTGAGGATGATAAAACTAGGACAAACGCTAGGACATAAACCAATCAAACCAGTTAGCAATTATTTTTAATCATTTTCATTCACGGCCCGGGTCTTGTTTTTGTAAGTGCAGGAAAGGTGCCGGCACACTCTCTTGGGGCGGCATTCTCCCATCTCTTTGAGTTAATCTTGTACTGACTTGGGCTGCAGGTCTCTGATTTTTACCCTTGAGGTGTCCTAGAAAATTCATGACAGAACTTGAATGGGTGAGAACCTAGGCTTCCATGTTGACTAGTGTCATACCAACTTGTCACAGGAGATGGGAGGTGAGCCCAGGTTCTGGAGTCAGAACTGGTATAAGAGGGCCAGCTCTTCTGCTAGCTGTCCATGTGACCTTAGGCAGGGTGTGGACCATCAGTGTTTCTCATTTTTGTCTTTATTGTAAAATTTCTTGGGTTAAATGAAAAAGATAAATGCTGTTAGATACACAGTACATAGTAGATGCTCAAGAAATAGCCAGCCATCCTACCTTCTCCCTACCTCTTCCCCTGTAAACCTTTTTATATTCCCCTTACCCCTCTGAATCCAATGTGGTTTGTAGAAAGAACAGGGACCCTCATGGGCAGACCTGTGCGATACCGCCAGCTTTGCGTAGAGAAGATTTTTCCACCAGTGTTCATCCATCCATCTGTCCAGCTAGCCAACATGACTGAACACCTGCCAGGGGACGGACTGAGGAATTGGGAGCAGAGCAGAGCCTGTAAACTCTCACTGAACACAGATCTCGAGAAGAAGGAACAGATACATCTTGAAAAAAACAGAAGAGGCAGCAGCAGTTAACTGTCCAATCTGGATGTTTTTGTTTTCCACGCTGACCATGAAAGTACCTCCAAAGTCAATTTCCTTCTGAAGAAAGGGTACCTTGTGGCAGTGTTGCTCTCTGGCTGGGTCACCACAGGCCCCTACAGCTGACTGCCTCAGCCTGCTGTCTGGAGAAGGCTTCCATGTGGAATAGCACTCATTCAGGCCTCGTGTGTAGACAGAATGGAGCGTGGTCTCTGAGGAATCAGAGTCTGGTCTGGTGTAGAACCAGCTGGGAGGACTTCTTTCTCAAAGTAGAAGATTACTGAGTATTAGGTTTTCCTGTATCAAGGTCCTTTGGGGAATGAAAGAATCATAGAGCCTTGGATAATATCCCATATCTGCCCTCATTCTTTTTTTTTAAATTTAGTTTAATTTTTTCAGTGTTCCAAGATTCATTGTTTATGCACCACACCCAGTGCTCCATGCAATACGTGTCCTCCTTAATACCTAGGGACGTTTTGGAGTTCGGTTGAACGCCTAGATCTCCAACACCGAAGTAGTGGGAGACCAGATAGAACCTGCAGGGGGCCCTGTTTTCCAACTGTGCCCGTTGTATTTGTCCCTTTGTCTTTGGCTGGTTTTGACCCCTTAAATTCTTGGAGATCAACCCTTAAGCTAGACTTAACTCTGGCAAATCGTTGTGACCAAGGATCAGAGAAGACTCCAAGGACATGAAATATCTTCTCTTCTGGAGAAGTCTGCTCACTTGGCCCTTTCTCAGGACTCTTAGCGCTGGAGAGACCTGTCAGGCCCAGTGGGGGAGGCCCTGGCCAGAGAAGCTAGGAGATCTGTTTTCTTATCTCAAATCTGCTAGAACTCGTATGACCCTGTGTGACTCACCTCCTAGAGCTTACCTTCAATTAACTTCCACTTGACCCTCTATTAATCAGGCTGTACTAGACGATGACAAAGGAACTTTCAAAACAATAACATCCTATGATTTCAACCCACAATAACCCCATTTGTGTTATTCTTTTGTATCTTTGTTTTAAAGTCCCTGCCCCCACTAGATTATAAAGTTACTTGAAAGCGAGAATTGTGCCATATCCATTGTGGTACCTTGGTAAAATATCTAGCAGAGTACTTTTCACACAATAGATGGTTTAAAGATCTGTTTGATTTATTGATTATATATTGGCAAATTTGGAAGAACCCTATACCGAGCCTATCGATGATGACTTTTGCCACTGTTCCAGAGCTGAGAACCACCATCCTGAGTGGTTGTAACTGACAGGCTGGAAAAGCAATCAAGGTGGTCAACAGACAGGTGTAACAGACGTTGTTATAGTGTGGCATGAAACTAACTCACCCTCTACCCCGCAGTTCCTTTCAAGTGCAGTAAAGAAAAGTGGGACCTTAAAAGATTAACTCATCTTCCTTCACTTTGGGAATTTGAGGCTTGCCTGAGTTCTCAGGCTGTTTTCCGATTTCTGCCTTGGTATGTATGTGTGGCGGAAGGGCTTTCGGGAGTTACGTCACAGTAAGCCATTACTGAATCGAGGCATTTGGGAACTTGGTAATGCCCAATGTTACCTGTCAGGTCCTGGGAATTTGAACTGTGAGGCAGGTATGAGATGTTTTAATTCGCTGGTATGTGCGCATGCATGTTTATAACCAGTTTTCATGTCCCCGTGTCCTGTGTGTGTACCTTTACGTGGTGACATGTGACTTCACACTGTAGATGCTTTGTAAATTATGAGTTATTTACACAATGGAATTATTTTTTCACATGTGTGAGTGGGGTAACAATTTTAGGCTTTCATCTCCTACTGAATGCAAGTTCTTGGGGTTGTAGGGTATAGAATTCTTCTGTCAGCCAGTCTCAAAGCTCCAGGTTAATGGATTCAGTGAGATGAAAAATTCAGTGGGAAAAAAAAATCAACGTTGTTTTACTCTACTATAGAGTACATTGTTCATTAGTCTGCAGCTAGAGAAGAGCCAGCGTGCCTTGAGAACACCAACTCTAATGTTTTCCAATAGGTATCAATAGTTAGGGTGATCAGGGGTGAGTTTCAATCAATAAAAAGAGTTGAGTTGTCAATGAAATGAAAGATCTCTCTGGTGTTTTGAGAGGGGAGAACCAATCCCTGTTGGGGTTTTAAGGAGGCCTGGAAATTAGGGTTTATGTTTCTTATCAGGAGTCTCTTTAAGTTTATGCTATCATCTCTTGGCTGTTGGAAACTGTGTTTGATTGTCTCTGTCTTCTATAGCTTGGAATTGCAATTGGGTTCTTGGTCCCTCCTGTTTTGGTACCCAACATCGAAGACCAGGACGAGCTTGCCTACCACATCAGCATCATGTTTTACATAATAGCAGGCGTGGCTACTCTGCTTTTCATCTTTGTCATCATCGGTAAGGTCATTAGTAGAATGATAGGGGGGCCACGAGGCAGGGAGGTTCTGCTGACTTGGGTGGGGACCTTGTGAACATGACCTTAGAATACCACGGACATTTACAGAAAGTAGATGCCAGGCTGCTAGTCGAGGTCTTCAAATGTCTTAGCCAATAGAGTGCTAGCTGATCTTGTGTACTTTGTTAGCTGCTCAGTAAGGATTTAATTGTAATCAACTGGTTCCCCAATAAAACCTCACCAGAATTAACGGGCAGGCTGTTGATCCCTGTGATGAAACCCCACTGAGTGCTTATGATATATATCCAGGCACTGTGCTTAGCATGCCTGATCTCCTTGAATCTTGAGGGAAATTCCCATCATCAATCCCATCAACCCCTCTTTCCCACAAAGAGGAAAATGAGACTTAAGGGGAGTTAAGTAAATTATTCAAGATTAGATGTGTAGTAAGTGGCAGAGATCGTCTAGCCCTGTGTAACTCCATACTCTAAATTTCTGGAACAAAACTAAAACAGAATTGACCCACAAACACTAATATTCTTGTAGATTCATCTGAGAATACGTGGGGACCACATTTTTTGAGGCTTTTTGTTTTTTAAACCATAAGAGGAATACATGTTGGTTATGGAACAATCTGGACAATATGAAAAAGCATAAAGAAAAGAATAGCCAGGGTGCCTGGCTGGCTCAATTGGTAGAGCATGCGACTCTTGATTGAGCTCAGGGTCGTGAGTTCGAGCCCCATGTTGGCGGTAGAGGTTACTTCAATAAATAAATAAAATAAATAATTAAAATAAAAAGAAATAACCATTAACTTAGACTGTACCAGTTAATCCCCACCACCAACCTCAGACAACCACTATTAATTTTATATGCATGTACATTTGATCGTTGAGATATTGGTTAATATATTTATATATCCTCTTTTATCATCTGAATGGTATTACATGTGTTGTGATAAATTCAGAAATAGCATAGTAGAGACTTTTTAATTTTCAGTTAGTCATTCACCTTTAAAGGTTAACCAGCTTTCTTCCTAACATTCCATCTCACGTGGTAAAGGTCTCATTCTTCCCTGCCATCCCCACCTCCTGTTTTATGATTGTGCACCCCATTCCACTGTTCTCACTGAGTCAACTCTCTCCCCCTGGGCTCCAAGATGAGAGTCTGATGGCTTTTTGAAGCTGGCAGGATATGTTGGGTGGAGGACTTGCTGTTTCTGGGAAGGGGAGAAGCTACGGGAGTGTGGATGGCCACAGGAAAGAGCAGTCCACCCAGGGTCCCTCTTACTCAACCAGACCTTAAGTTTCAACTTGTAACGTGCCCAGCTTCAAATGCCTGCGCTCATAGCGGATGAGCGCGTGGTTCTTTGCATTTGAAATCCTGAAGGTAAGACATTTCTACATTTTGACATTTTATTATCAAGCCAGAGAGTGGCTAATTGAGTAAAGAACTGAAAAATCTGATCTGAATTCTGGTTTGTAGTTTCTCCAGGCCCTTGGAGAAATGGAAGAGAGATAGCCTCTTGCCTTACTTTCTTTCTCCTCATGCAAAGGGAGGTGAATGGACAAGACAGTGGATGAATGGTTTCCAACACCAGGAAGTAATCCAGGAGTATTTCTGGAGAAGGAAGAAGCAGGGCTCTGAAGTTAGGGCTCTGAAGGTTTTCTGCGGCGGAGGCGGGGCGGGGGGTAAACCTCACGTCCAGAGCTTCCTCTAACTAGAGACAGTCTACTGACCTTTCAGGAGCGTTCTCATGGCATGTGGAGAAGCTACATGGAGCTTGCCTGGACCCAACTTGGGGTGGGGAAGCAATTTAACCAAACAAATGGTTACACTTGTTTGCCCCCAGAACCTGAACAGCGATCAGTGCCATCAAATGGATTGTACCAGCTGTGCTGGAAATCAAATACAAAATGAATGGTTTTCGTGCTATCTCTCCCCAGTCCTTCCTACCTCTCCTGCAGGGGTATGTGTTAATTCTCTTGTCTCTTCACAAGGCAGACATTAGAGTCAGAATTTGACAAACTAGGAATTGACTTGAGGTTTTTTCCAACAGAAGAAGATCTTTTCACTTATTCAGGGAATATTCCTTGGCCGCCATGTGCCAGGCTCTCTGCTAAGCAGGGGCGACACAGTCCCTTCCCCCTTGGGAGGAGCTCTGGTACTAAGCCATTCACTGGGCTCACTAACCCCAAACTTTCTCACTTTCTCTCTCTCCATGTGTTACTACTATGTTATTTTCAGTGTGCTGTGATATGTTATTTGCTGATTGATTATGGGACTCCTTGACCCTCGAACGCTGCCTGGGAGGCCCAGGGAGTGCAGCCATCCGGAGGCCATGAAGAAAAAGCCACAGGTGGTGAGAAACAGCTTCAGGAAAGAGGGACTGATGGATTTAATTGAAGAATTAATGTTTCCTTTTTGAGTCTTTTTTTTTTTTAAGATTTTATTTATTTATTTGACAGAGAGACAGTGAGAGAGAGCATGAGAGAGGAGAAGGTCAGAGGAAGAAGCAGACTCCCCATGGAGCAGAGAGCCCGATGCGGGACTCGATCCCAAGATTCTGGGATCATGACCCTAGCCGAAGGCAGTTGCTCAACCAACTGAGCCACCCAGGCACCCTCCTTTTTGAGTCTTAACCTTTTCTCTTGTCCATGTGTTAGCTCTGCAGGGGTGGGGCCATGGGGATTTGCAGTGATATCTCTGTTTCTTTCCTTTCAGTATTCAAGGAGAAGCCTAAACACCCCCCGAGCAGGGCACAATCTCTGAGCTATGCCTTGGCGTCCCCTGATGCATCGTACTTAAGTTCCATTGTCCGGCTCTTCAAAAACCTCAACTTTGTGCTGCTTGTCATCACCTATGGTAAGGTGCATGTGTGTCCAGGAGTGTGTTTAAATTAGTAACGTAAGACCTCATGTGTCTGTGTGTCTTACTCTTTCCAAATCCCTAGTGTGTATATAAAGCTATTGCTCAGGACCAACCCAGAAGAGTCAGTTGTGCCTCAGGGCCTTTGCATGTTCTGTGAAGTTCACTTAGAAAAGCATTCCCTCCCAAATCAAGTTGTCTTGACAAATGCCTGCTGATCCTTCAGGTCTTACCTGAGTATCACTGCTATAAAGGTGACCTTTACCTGTTTAATTATGCTGTTCCTGGTGCATCTTAACACTTACCATTTAAAAAGAAAATTTCAGGTCTCTTTTCCCCCTAGACTATGAATGTCCCAAGGGTAGAGATTTATGGCTTTTCATCTTTATAGTTCCTTAGCAGTGGCCAGCCTGGATTGGACACTCTAACAGTTATTTAGTGAATGAATGAATGAATGAATGAATGAATGCATTCATTCATGAGTCTTGTCACATAAACCGGTCCCCAACCAATCCTCTGTCATTTTGTAACACTGACTCCTTTTTTACCTGAATACAAGACAGTATCCCTCTTTTAGTTCCCTTTTTGGCTTTTGGAAGATACAGTTGAATATGCATTAAGATTCTTTAAAAGATTTTATTTTATTTATTTTAGAGAGGGAGAGAGAGAGAGAGAGAGAAAGAGAGAGAAAGTACATGAGTGGGGAGAAGAGCTGAGGGAGAGGGAGATGGGAGAAAACTCCCTGCTGAACAGCAAGCCCAACATGGTGCTTGATCCCATGACCCCCAGATCATGACCTAAGCTGAAACTAAGAGTTAGACACTCAACCAGCTGAGACACCCAGGTACCCTTACTAGTTAGTTTGTTAAAAATCAAGAGTCAACAGTTGTGTAACATGCTTAGTAACCATTAGAAGAAAAGAAACAAGGTTGGTTTGACATAATTTATGCTTAGTGAAACCCCGGTTGGCTTTAACCTTGTTTTTTTTTTTTTTTTTTTTTATAACAATAGCATTTGCTATGTGCCAAGACTTCCCATGTATGATTTTATTTATTTAACTCTCATCATGCCCATGTGAGGTCGGTACCATAGTTTTCCCTATTTAACAGAGGAAAAAACTTAAACTCAAGACAGGCTAAGTAACTAGCTCGAGAAGACACAGCTTTGCATTGGCAGAGGCAGAATTCAAATACAGGTTTATCTAACTCCAAAGCCTACACAATTAATGCCTATACCCCTTTTTGAATTATGCCAGAGTTTCATGTTAGGCTTATCATCATGCTCCTTATCTAAATTAGAGTGTTTATCTGTGGAGGCATGAGAGAAGAGGTAGTATCACACACAGGAGAGTGGCACGCCTATTTTTCAGGCACTCACAAAAATAAGTGATCTCTCACCTGGAAAAGTGTTGGATGAACAGATTAGTCTTCAAGGTCTCAGGTCTCCATTTCTCATTCTCTGCAGCTTTTCCGTTCTGAGAATGTCTCTGCCTTCACCCACAATATACAGACAGACTTTCCAATACTTAAGATGTCCAATTAAAGAAGTTATGTGAGTTGTCCATAAGTAGGAGGCACTCAAGTGTAGATGGGACCAATCACTTAGTGGGGATATTTGGAGAATATCAGGCTATATAGATGGATAGTAAAGCCACATGGCCTTTGGGATCCCTTTCAGATTCAGGATTGCATGGCTCCAGGAACTTTCACTTGTCCTTGAGTTAAATATCTCAAATGCATTGACTTTTGAAAACCATAAATCTTATTGCATCTGATATCAGCGTATTTTAGGCCTACCTTGGCATTCTAGGGCAGATGAGTGCTTAATAAAGTTTTTTTTTTTTTTTTATGATAGTGGTGATAAGTGGGCAATGATCCCAGTGTATAGGCAGGGAAGCAAAGCAACTCTTCCTCTTCAGCTCTTGCATGGCTGGTTGCTTATGTGGTCTTTCATTTGGCAGTGTGGTTTTAACACTGTACTTCTGCACATTCATCTATTTGGTTGAATGATAACACAGGAAATAGGGAAGCACTTCTGGAATGGTGGAGTGAGGACCTTGGATAATCTGTTCTTCCATAAAGCAACAAGTACACTGACAAACATTGTCAAAATCAAATTTCCAGAACTCTTAAACAAAGGTTTGCAACAATCCAAGGGGCATTTATTCAAGGAAAAAAAAAATGACTGAATAACAGCAAGAACAGTGAGCTTTGTGTTTTAACTTGCCCTATTCCAATCCGCCTCTCCCAGTCTCTGTGGTAGCCTTGACAACCAGCAGCCTAGCAGCCATGGTAGTTGTGAGAATCAGCAGCCTCACAGCCACTTGATGGGGCAAAAACAAGTCTGGAGCTCCCCCCAAACCCCATTCCTAGGTCATTATTTGATATCTGACAGTTCCCTAGAAGAGCCCCATTCAGAGGACTTGCTTTTATTTAACCAGACTCAGAGCTTGCTCTGTGGGAAAAGCACTATTTCTAGGGCAATTTGTTGAAAATCATCACTGTTTAGCATCATAGCTGCCTAAGGTAGTAATAACCAGTTTAGGTGAACAGGAAGCTGGCCAAAAATCTTGAAACAAAAATCTAGAGAATGAGATGGTCATAGGAGCTTTGAAAAGCTCTGACATATTCTTAGGAATCTAGATAGAAGTCCACATGCATATGAGCCCTAAACTCTCACCTCTGGCTGACCTTGAGGCTCTGGGCAAGGAGGAAGTGAAGGCTAAGGCAGGGTTGACACCTGCCTGCTGGAGCATTGAAGGAGAGCCTCAGACCCCGTACAGAGGAGGTCCGTGGCAAAGGTGGGGACTTACTGGTTTAAGGTATTTAAGGAAATATCTGTCTAATCATGACCTCACCACTAAACTGATGTAGCAGAAACCAGCAGCTGCACCTGACAAAGAATACAAACTTTACAAAATTAGTCCAGGAAAGTCACCAAGCAAACAGCAGCAATAGCAACAAATCCCAGGGAGGGAGGAGAATCTCATTTCCAGAGCTGACATGGTATTTAAAATGTCCAGCTTTACCAAAAGATTATGAGACATGCAAAGAAATAGGAAAGAATGACTCATACACAAGGGGAAAAAAGCACTTGATAGAAACTGTTCCTAAGGAACATATGGACATAATAAACCTATGGACATAATAAAGATTATAAATCAACAATATAAATAATGTTCAAAGAACTAAAGAAACCATGCCTAAAAAATGAAAAAAAAAAAAAGGTGGAGAATAATGTCTTACCAAATAGAGAATATCGGTAAAGACAGGAATAAAAAAGAACCAAATAGAAATTCTGGAATTGAAAGTACACTAACTAAAATGAAAAACGCACTGGAGGACTCAAAATCAGATATGAGCTGGCAGCAGAAAGAATCATTGAACTTGAAGATAGATCACATAAAATTATCCTGTCTGAGGAACAGAAAAAATAAAGAAGAAAAATGAGCAGAGCCCTGAGACCTGTGGGAAACCATCATGCAAACCAACATACGCATAATGGGAGTCCTAGAAGATGAGGAGAGAAAGGGTGAAAGTAAATTGTCATTTAAATTGGGATAGTGCTACCCAGAAAAACAATTTGCTTCTGAGTCTCTAGGAGCATTTGACTCCATTGCAGAGATAGAATTTATTAATTTTTTTTTCCATCAAAGACCTGGGGTTATTCCAGTGAGAGAGAGTTAAACTAATCTGGATGTTTGCATATATTTAATTATAGTTAGAAAACTGCAAGCCTTTTTCCATGATAGATAATTGGACTTGGTGACTAAACTTTGTACCAACAAGTATATGATTTTTAGGCTTAATAACAGATTTGGATAGAATTTTATTGAGCTATTAATGTGTGTCAGGCCTTCTGTTAAGTGCTTTACATAGATTATCACATTTAATCTTCAGAACAATCCCATGACATCGGTTCTCAACTCCATTCCATTTTATATATGAAGACGCTGAGGCTCCGTTTAGTTCCTTGCCCACAACTGGACAGCTAGCAAGCAACAGAGCTTCTGTCAGTCAGAACTTCTGTCTGACTGATGCCGAAGCCTATCTTCCTCACCACCATGCCATTTTTGTGTCCTTATGGAGAAAGGAACATCTAGAGACAAAGCCAGAGCTCTTTTAGCCCCACTTGTCTCAGTGGTCCTTGGGTTTACCTAGGGGAGGTATTTCCTTCTTCAGGTTCAATCCTCTAAACTAGCTGCCTAGGAGTTGCCTTCTCCTAAGATGCAGATCAGTTCTGGGGTTTTCGAAGCAGGATCAACTTATATTGACCAGCCATCTTTGGGATTTGGAAACGATGGGGTCTTGACTTTAGCGTCTTTCTAAGGCTTAGAGGTCATGTAAAGGCAGTGTTTGGGACTCAGGCCACCTAAGAATTAAATCTTTGCTCCAAATTACAAACAAAACAAAACTCTCTATAAATTCACCTAGGTGTTTTGAAGCTCTCCTGAGTGTCCCACCACCCTTCCTGTAGTTTCAGGTTGGGCTTTGAAAAAGGAAATGGTTCATACTTTTTATATTGTACATATGATGTTCATATTTTCCTCTGAATTACATGCACTTAAGAGCATGTGGCTTGAATCTAGCCGATGATAGCATTTCATGGGCACATTTGCTGGATGTGGGTGAACATGTCTTGGGGTAAGAGCCTTGAATGCTGGAGTGGTGAATTCAGAGTTGGCACGTAAGGAATAAGGAGTCTGAGTTTTAATGTCTGCTCTGCCAAATTACTGAATGTACCTCCTTCACCCATCCTGTGCCCATGAAATAAAAATCTCTGAAAATAAGAATCAAATTTGGTTCCCAATGGAGTGCTCTGAATGGCAATGAAAGCTTCTAAAGCAGTTGCAAAGAGATACTGCATGAATCCACATTGCTGTTGTGTTGGCGAACTTGATTTCCTACATTCTTTCATTGGTCTGAACCGCATTTCACCAGGTAGGGAGTAGCTCCCATGTAGCTGGTGGTATGTCCGGTACTGTCTTTCTCATGGCTTTCCAAGTCTTCCCCAAGCTGCTGAGTCTGCTGCCCAGAGTAGAGCCTGGTGAGGGCTTTGGAGGAATTTCAGGGGGCTTTTTCTTGTAGGCCTCTGGTCATACCCTTAGAGATAGGTTTGAGAGATATAATAAAGGCTGTCCAACTAAATTGCATGTCAGGTAAACAGCACATTCTTTTCAGCATAAACATGTCCCATGGAGTATTGGGGGCATATTTATGCTGAAAAAGTATTACCTGAAATTCAAATTATAACTGGATGTGTTGTTTTTGTTTTTTTCCTAAATCTGGCAGCCCAGCTTAGAGAGGAGGGGCCAGAGATGGGTTTTGTGTTTGATATTGCTGAAATCACAGGAATAAAAAAACTGCCTTTTCCTCTAGTAAAATACAGCCCCCCATCCCCTTCTCCAGGTTTGGCAATGCAGGAAGACCCAGGGCTGGAACCATATTCTCTACAGGTCTGCCAGAGTTTGGGGGCCCAGTGGGTCTTAGGATTTGTATCAGCAGAGTTGGGCAGTGGTGTGGCATCAGAGAATAACCTTTCCTTGGCTACCTTCTCCTTGAGTCCCTAGGCCTTGCTTTCACATGGCCGCCTCTTCTGCTCTATCATCAATGGCACAACAATTGCCACATTGAAAAAGACACTGAAAAGGCTTCTCTTCTAAAGAATGTCCTCAAAGGGAACACTTCTCCATGTTGTCCCCCAGCCTTGCCTTCAGCTACCCTTCTGAATAATCTTCCAGTGTTGGACATCCAAACTCACAGCCCAACACGGGAAGATTATCACCTTCCCTTGGGGCTTTCAAGGGCTTTACTACTGCCCACAACCCTATGGGTTTAGGGAGGGTGATTGCGCTTCCTCTCAGATCCTGCTTGAGAGAAGGCATAATATCCTTCTTGTGATTCCCTGGAGCTTTGCTGAGGTGAGGCTTTAAACCCTTTAAAACGAGGGTTTACTACAAGTCCAGGAAGGACCCAAGGGAAATGAACACAGAGTATCCAGAACCCAGAGATAGAATCTGGGATCAGTCTTTCCCAAGCTTCCCTGATGACAGAATTACCTGGGGTGCTTGGTTGAGTGTGTGCCTGAATTTCCCTGCCTTTCTTCTAGAAATTCAGTTTCAGAAAGTCTGGGTGAGGGCCTGGGAATCTGCTCTTAAAAGGCATTCCAGGTGATTCTGGTTTGCAGCAGCATTGAGCAGCTCTAACGTAGGGTCATTCTCATGGTCTTGAAAACCCTTCTCATACCATTTGCCGCCATGTTAACCTGGGAGCCTGGGCCTAGTCTTAGATCTTCCGGATTCCCAAGGTCATTTATTTATGAACTCTACTGAGTCTAAGAAATGGCTAGGGTTGTTGTTGTTGTTGTTAAGTGGGCTCTATACCCAGCATGGAGCCCAGTGCATGGCTTGAACTCAAGACCCTCAGATCAAGACCTGAGCTGAGATCAAGTCAGACACTTCACCGACTTAGCTACCCGGGCACCCCTGTTGTTATTATTATTAATATTATTTTAGATTTTACTTATTTATTTAATTTTTTTAAAGATTTTATTTATTTATTTGATAGAGAGATCACAAGCAGGCAGAGAGAGAGGGGAGAAGCAGGCTCCCTGCTGAGCAGAGAGCCGGATGCAGGACTCGATCCCAGGACCCTGGGATCAGGACTTGAGCTGAAGGCAGAGGCTTAACCCACTGAGCCACCCAGGTGCCCCTTACTTATTTATTTAAGATAGAGACAGAGAGAGAGTATGTGAGTGAGCAATGGGGGAGGGGCGAGAGGGGGAGGGACAAGGGCAAGGGGACTTCCCACTGAGCACGGAGCCCAACACAGGGCTCGATCTCATGACCCAGAGATAGTGACCTGAGCCAGAATCATGATTCTGATGCTCAACTGACTGAGCCACCCAGGTGCCTGTTGTTATTTTTAAATTACAGATTCCTAGCTCTATTTCAGGAAAATCAGATTTAGTTCAGAAAATCAGATTTGGTGGGGCCCAGGAATCTGCATTTTAAAACTCTTTTGCACTTAACTCTGTGTCTCATTTCTCTGGGAACCTGATAAAGGGAGTAAGTGAACTGCATTTAGGCAACATTGCATATGATAAAAATGACCTCAATGTTAAAAATGACTGTCTGGATTGGGGGACCTTTTCATATCTGCTAGGAGGCCATTCTTTGTGCTTCTCTGAGTGTGCTGACTCTTTTCACTGGACTGTCCTCTCTGGGGCCCCGAAGCTATGCCTCTGGAGATGCCACCAGCAATAGTGGCTCCTGCAAGGTGTTAAACCAGGGTGGCTGCCATGCCCACATTTCCCTGCGCCTGTGAGGCCAAAGAGGATGGGTTCTGGATGGCTCCATGGTCTAGGCTTCATGAAAGAGGAACCCCTGAGGCTGCCCTGCTCGTGAGCTGTGTCCTGTTACTTAGAGTCTTCCAGGGCATCTAATGTCAAGTGTACCAGTGATGGTCTTGTGAGCCTCAAAATTAGTTAAAATTAAGACCTCTGGTGAGCATTATAAAGTGACTTTCTGTATTTGTTTTAAAACTGGGTGCATTTTCCTCATCTATAAAATGGGGATGATAATATTAGCTACCTTGCTGTAAGGATTGTAAGATACCTAAATGGTATCTAGTACATAAAAATGTGCTACTGCCACCTTCCTCCCCACCCGCCTCCCCACTCTCCTCCCCACTCTCCTCCTCACCCTCCTCCTCTCCATCCTCCTCCTCACCGTTATCTTCCTCATTACCATCATCATCATTATCTTCATCGCCATTGGGTCAGTTTCAGTCTCATCAAAGCTACTATAGCTTTGCACAAATGGCCTCGTGGATTCTTATGGTATATTCTAGGTGTTCCTTTTATCTGTTGGATGAATTGATGAGTTAGGAGAGTCAGCTCAGTGCTCTTTAGGGTGCTTTCTGGTTTCAAATATGAGATTTTGTGTGACATTGGGCCAAAAAGAAAGCTGAAGGAAAAATGGGGACAGAAAAGAGAAACGACCCACAGAAGGAGTGATGTCACGGGTCAGAGGCCTGGAGCAGTCTGGAGCGGGGACAGGTCATCAGGAGGAGATGGAAGGTGTCCAGTGGTTCTGCTGACCCTGTAGGTCAATAGGTCAATGCTTGAGAGGAATGTAGACGGTTCTGACCTGGGAGTAATGTTTCTAGCGCCTGTGTTTCCAGGGCAGGGTTAAAGGGATCCGCGGGCAGTGGTGTGGGCTGAGAAATGGTTAAAATAGTTACTTTATTTTGGAGTCTTGAGTAGCCTCCTACTTTCTGGGGACACCACTCATAATGGCAGTGAAGCTGAGGACTTCTGACCTCCCTACCTGCCAGGGGAAGACGTTAGCAGTGGTCCAGCAGAGGCTACCCCTAATGCTGTGTGTCTCCCTCCTTCTTTCAGGTCTCAATGCTGGTGCTTTTTATTCCTTGTCCACACTGCTGAATCGCATGGTGATCTTGCACTACCCGGTAAGGTAGTCCCCTGAGCACGCTGAAGAGAGTGAGAGCTCTGTCCATCCCGGCAGGAGCTGGGGCAGTGGTTAACTCTAGTCCCCCTAGCACCCTGCCCTCGCCATTCCAGACAGTGTCGTACGGTGCTGTGCTTACGGGATTTGGAGGGAGACGGCCCTGGTTCTCAGCCCTAGTTCTGGTGGCTCTTAATTGTGTGGCAGGCTGGTTAGCCTCTCTGAACTCTCATTCTCCTTTCTGCAAAAGAAACACAATTACTTATTGAAAGATTATTTTTTAGCATTAGAAACTAATACTATGTATGTGTGCCCATATGTATATATTCATATGTTCTATGTATGTAAAGCACATGGCATGACGACAAGCTGTACAGTAGGTAAACCTACAGATGTACAGATCATGTATGAAAGATTTAATTTGTAAAATGGGGCAGAGTTTAATTTTGAACTCTTGGTTGCCCAACTGAAAGCATTTCTCCTTCTTCTTTTTTTTTTTTTTTTAAGATTTTATTTATTTGTCAAAGAGAGAAGAGGAAGAGTGCACATGAGCAGGGAGAGGGGCAGAGGCAGAGGGAGAAGCAGGCTCCCCACTGAGCAAGGAGCCAGACTATGGGACTCGATCCCAGGACCCTGGAATCACACTCGGAGCCAAAGGCAGACACTTAACTGACTGAGCCACCCAGGCATGCCTGAAAGCATTTCTTAAATGTTTACAGAACTAGCAAGGGCTGGATCCTAGGAGTGGGATACTGTGTGTCCTGGAGTCCGGAATCCTAGGTCCAACCCCCTTTTGAAAGGAGAGGGGTCTCGGGGCACCTGGGTGGCTCAGTGGGTTAAGCCTCTGCCTTCGGGTCAGGTCATGATCTCAGGGTCCTGGGATCAAGCCCCGAATCAGGCTCTCTGCTCAGCAGGGAGCCTGCTTCCCCCTCTCTTTCTGCCTGCCTCTCTGCTTACTTGTGATCTCTCTCTGTCAAATAAATAAATAAAATCTTTAAAAAAAGGACAGGGGTTTCACACTTGCAGAGGTGGTAGGCCACTGTGGCTAACGTGTTCCATTTTGGAGTTTGACAGGTCTGAGTTCAGATCCTAGCTCTGTTCTTAATAAATGCCTCACGACCTTCCTGCTAGCAGGTTCATCTCACTGTGCCTTGTTTTTTTTTTTTTTTTTTCCCATCTATAAAGCACAGACTATTGATTTCTAACCTCACAGTGGGGAATTTTGAGAAGCAAACGAGATTATATAACTGTCATATTCCTATTCTTTTTGGCACTAATAGTTCAAAAATTAAAACAACTAAGCACAGAATATTTGGATATATGTATTTCGGTCTCCCTGTTTGTGAAATGGGGATAATGACAAATAAGATAAAAGGGCTGCTGTAAAGATTAAATTTAAAAAAAGATCTACTTCAGAGTGGCTCTGGGACAGTTCGGTCACCTTGCCCTGGTACGTTCAGAGAATCAGCTCAAATGGAGCCTGAGTTACTTGCCTTTCTTTCCCCTGTCACCTCCTGCTGACTGTGCTCTGGTGTCTTGTCCCATGCTTGGGTGATCACGGGGGCTGTGGTTTTCCCAGGGGCAAGAAGTGAATGCTGGAAGAATTGGCCTGACCATCGTCATTGCAGGAATGCTTGGGGCCATGATCTCAGGCATCTGGCTGGATAGGTCCAAAACCTACAAGTAAGTGTCCTCCTCTTGGACTGATAGTTGGGGACCCTTGTTTTGAAATGACACATTCCTCAGCAATTTGGCTCCAGAGGGTTGGGTGTGAGAGCTGGGGGTCTCAGTGGTCGAGCGGTTGACATTTATCTTCTCTAAGTCTCAGTTTCTCCATTTATTAAATGAGGGAAATAGTACCCGTTCCATGGGGGATCTGATAAGATCAGAGACGGAGGACATGAGGCCTAGCCCAGTACTCTTTCCCCCTCCCCCCATGTAGTTTGCGAAAGGGGCAGACGAGGGAGAAATGAAAACGAAGGTAGAAAAATGCCAGCAGTTGCAAAGTTAATGGAAATCCCAAAGAATGGCGATGAGGAAGTGATGCCCTGCCCCGTTCCCCTGGCTCCCAGGGCTTAAGCAAGGTGGCTGGGCTTCCTCTGGATTACACCGTATCATCTTGCTACTGCTTATACCTCCTTCGTAAATACCATGGTGGGCTTGGGGCCTGAATGCCCAGCGTGTTTCCAGGAGCCCCGAGCAGCCTTTCTAAGATTTTAGTGTATGCCAGGCTCATCCAGGACGCTTAATAAAAATAGATTCCTGGGCCCCATCCTCATGGCTGCCAGGTCAGTGGGGGAAACCGCCTTTGTAAAAAGCAGCCCACCCAGTGCCTCAAGCCAATAGCCAGGCTTAGAGGAAAGGTTCTGGAGAATGGAGACCTGACGCCCTTCCCTTCTTGTTGCTCCTTTCCAATGCTGTGTATACACTAGGTGCTCCATTAATGTGGGTCAGCTGGGGAGCAGCCAGGGTTGTCCTACCCTGGGGCAGGGTGGCTGCTTTGTCGAGGCCTCCAAAGCACCCCATGTCTGGAGGCGACAGACAGTGGCAGACCTGTTCTCTGTCACACAAACCCGCTTCTGTGAGGGTCTGGTCAGACCAGGTCTGACTCTGGCTGCCCCAGACAAAGGGCAGTTGAGGTCATCTCTGGGGATGTGGCCGCCTGGCTGAATGCGACGTGGAGCCTGGCTTGGCTTAATGACTGCTGGGGGGAGCTTGGCTGCCGTCTCGTCTCTGCCATCTGCCAGTGGTTTGCCTCAGCCCGGCCCGAGGGCAGTGAGGACTGGCCGCTCCCCAAAACCAGTGAACAGCAGTGTCCCTCTTTCCGGGGCTCCATCTGTGGCAGGAGAAGGAAGGGATTGGAACGGTGGTGGGGCTGGGATGTGCAGCCAGATGACTGAGAAGAACTAGAAAATACAGGGAAAGGGCTGAGGGCACACTTGGGGATGTAGACACCACTGTTTGCTAGTGTCCCTGATGTCCAGCTCCTGCCATCAGTGTGAGATCCTCTTCACCCTGTGCTATGACCCAGGCAGAGAAAGATGCTCTGTGATCGGGGCATTTTGGTGCCCCATTCTCTTCTCTCTGAGGTTCCCAGATTTGACCCGTTTGACATGGTGGCTCGAAATTGGGTGGGTCACATCCCGTTATTTGAGGCTGGGACTACTTACAGTTTTTCTAAATGGGTCAGTGGTTTAAAACGAAGCTGTAGTTAAGCAAACTCGGCAAGAGGGGAGCTTGTATGGCCGGCAGAAGAAACGGGTATCCATGAAGTTGTCTGCTGTGGGGTGGGTGGGACCAGACACAGGTGCAGGTGGAGAATGTGGACGCCCGCCTGCCCTCCACAGCTGCTGTGAAGCCCTGAGTGGGAGGGGCATCCTTTGCAGGCTCTGGCCTTGAGCGTTTCCAAAGAGGCAACCACGTAGTGTGTCTAAGTGTGTTAATGTATCAGGTCCTGTGTCCAGCAGTAGAAAGAGCAGCGTAGGTTTCAGATCCCAGGGCTGGGTCCAAATCCCAGCTCTGCATTTACTCAGTGGGTGACTCTGAATTAACCTAAGGGGTCTGTGCCTCAGTTTCCTCATTTGCAAAATTAGGGGTAGTCGTACGTTTCTTGTGGGGCTTTTGTCAGGCTCGAGTGAGAAAAGAAATGCACGTGAAGCACTTAACAGAATTCCTGGCATCCAATAAATGCGGGATTAGTTTGATAGAACCGAAGTATACATCTACTGGTGCCCCCACCTTGTTTCTGGTTTCAGGGGGGATGAGTGAGGGTTTTTGGCTTTCAGTATCTGAGTGCTCATTTTGTGGGAAGGTGGGCAGGGGGATGGCGGAGCCTGCAGCCTGCCATCAGCAGGGCAGGGGGAGGAACATAGGTCCGGTGGCAGGGATGGGACTGCGGCAGAGTCACGAGTGGGCAACGTGGGAGGAGAAATGTAGGGAGGGGCGCACGCAGGGCGAACCCCAGACAGGAATCAGCAGACGGCTGATGGTCCTTCTGAGAGGACTGGCAAAGGGGAATGTCATGGGGAGTGGGCAAAGCTTTTGCACTTGGGCTTTGGACTCAAGCACTTAGTTCAGGGCTGGAGAATGTTCTTGCTTAGCTTCTGCTCTCTGGAGCAGAGCAGTTTGGGTTTGGCGAAAAATATGCACTGCCCCTGTGCCATTGGCAGGAGGAAGTTCCAGATGACAGAGAATCTAAAAACTCAGCTCACTGCCCGCCATGGCCATGGGGTCTTGGGGCAAAGCAGACCAGCAGGAGGAGGTGGCTTCTGAGCTAGTCCCGTATGCCACTGCTGCCTGACCGGAGCTGATGTTTGTTCTGTAGTTTTTTTGTTTGTTTGTTTGTTTGTTTGTTTGTTTTTTGGTGGAGGACGAGGAAAGGAGAGGGTTGTGTCCTTCTTGCTTGGGGTGCAGCATGATATTGTTGAGAGGGTTCTGTGGGAGTCAAACACACACATGTAACAAGAGGGCCTCATCCTCTCCTGGGCTTCCCCTTTGTAGCACTGGCCACAGTGTATTTAAATAACTATTTGTGTGATCATTGGTTCAGTGTCCATCAACTTTATGGACAGAACGTTCTGAGAACTGATGTCCCAGCACACAGCAGAGGGCTTGACACATAGCAGGTGCCCAAATGATACTTGTATAATGAATGAATGAATGAATGGTCCTGTTATAGTCAGAAGCCAGTGAGTCAACTTCTTTGTCTCTGCTTTTAGAGAGACAACCCTATTGGTCTACATCATGACAGTAGTGGGCATGGTGGTGTACACACTGACCTTGAACCTGGGATACCTGTGGGTAGTGTTCATCACCGCTGGCACAATGGGGTAAGTCTGACCTCTGACCTGTCTAGCAGGAAAGCGGCATCCTGTGGCTCCTAGTGCTGCCACCATCCTTGGAGCAACACTCGTCCCTTTTCTGCCTTCTCATTGATCTCTGGAGATGTGGAAATCGTGGCCAGAGGTCTTATTTGCTTGCAACACTTCAAAAGGCTGCCTGGGGCTTCCATGCCATTGGGATGGAGTCTGTCCTTCACAGAACTCAGGGAGGCTAGGAAATGTTTAGAGTCTCTTGTAGCTCTGCCTGGAACAGTGGGGTGGGCAGAAAAAGTGCACAGGGCTAGGAATCAGGAAGTCTGGGTCCTGGTCCCAGTTCCGCTGCTGACCTTTAGATGACAGGTGCATCGCCTAACTGCCCTGAGCCTCAGTTTCCACATCTGTAAATGAAGATGACAGTGGCCTGTCTTGTAGAGTTGTTGCAAGGAGTGAGAGAGAAATAAGTGTGAAAGTAGCCCAAAGTGTGCTACAGATGTAAGAAATTAGAGTTGGAACTTTCTGGACCTGTTGTATGAGAAAGCACAGGAAACAGCACACCTTCCGTGGGGGGTCTCTTCTTAGCTGCACATCCCCGTTATTTTCCTGTGGGTGCTACATGAGTGTGTGTATGAGAAAGAGGAAGACAGAGACAGAGATACACAGATACTCAGTCCTTCTCAGCTGGTGAGCCTCCAGAGGGAAAAAGGAGGACACTGAGATCCTCCTTCCAGGTCCCAGAGAGCAGGGAGATGCTGTTCAGTGTCCAGGGAGTTCCCACTGCCAGCACAGGGCCTGCGGACCAATGATGCAGAATTTCTCAGCTGAGGGCTGAACACCGCAGGCATCCCCATCCCTTCTCCCAATGCTGACAGTAATAGAAGAAGCAGGGGACACCCAGGGGGCTCCTGAACATGAAGCCTCCATAGGAACTTCTTCCTGACCTGCAGGGGTATCTCTTTCCTTGGTCACCAGAGGGATGGCCTGGAATATCTTGGTGACCAGAAACAAAGTAGGAAAAGGAGTTCTAAGTGGGCGAGGTGGGCTCCCTATCCTTCTTGTTCTTGAAGTTCTCCACCATCTTGTTTCTATGATCTGGCCTTCAGCTTCTTCATGACAGGCTACCTCCCACTGGGATTTGAGTTTGCTGTGGAGTTGACATACCCAGAATCGGAAGGCATATCTTCTGGCCTCCTGAATGTATCTGCCCAGGTAGGACTCTTATTTGGTGGTGGCCCCAAAACAGTGGCTCTTTTTTCCCTACTTGACTGGGCTGCTGCTGGCATTGTATCATGACAGCTCGGTGCTCCCATGGGCTGGTTGGCCAGGCCCTTGTTTCCGGTCTTCTTTGTGCCTTTCCAGGTGTTCGGGATCATCTTCACCATCTCCCAGGGCCAAATTATTGACAACTACGGAACCATGCCTGGGAACATCTTTCTCTGTGTGTTCCTCACCCTTGGAGCAGCCCTCACTGGTGAGTTGGGGCCTTAAGACAAGATGGTGCTTAGGCCGCTCCTGAGCTTAGGCTGTTGGTGATTTGAGACCTCAGTGTTTTGATTGATCGTACAGATCGGGGGTACACTTGCAGAGGGGCAGAGGGGAAGGCTTATTAAGAAATGTGTTTGAGGGGCAGTAGCATGTGTTGGTGGAATGAGCCTAGAATTTGGTACCAAAAGACCCTTGTTTGCATCCAAGACTGTGACACTGACCTCCATAGCTTTTTGACCTTGGACAAGTGGACCAACTTCTGGAAGGCTCACTTTCTTAAACTATAAAATGGGAGTTGTTGTAAGGACTAGCGCAACATGTGCAAACTCCCTGGCAAATATCACGGGTATATAAATGAAGGCCTAGGTCATCATTGGCTTCTGCCTGTCAGGCACATCGGTGATCCCCAGGCTCTGTCAAGTTGGTGGGGGGAACCTCCATCTCCCTGGGATATCTATAGGTCTGAGATACCTGTGACCCTTCGGAAAGTGAGGACTCCCTCTCTTGGGTGAACTTCATCATTGGTGTCTTGTTAATTCTGTGTTTTGGTGTTCTTTCTCAATCTCTTGACCTCAGCGTTCATTAAGGCAGATCTCCGGAGGCAGAAAGCAAACAAAGAAACTCCTGAGAATGTGAGTATGTGGAAGCTTGCTGGGCTGAGAGTGGGGTCCCAGGTTTTGTTTGAGGCTGTGGCAGCATGGGTGAGCCCGGGGGGCTCCCACTGTGGGGGGCTCCCACTCTGGAGGCCATGAGATCAGCTCAACTCACATAAACATGGCACCCAAGAGCTTCCTGGGTGAGTGTTTGGCATGGCTGTTGTGCTGCTGTTTCCTGGCCTCTTCTGCTTCCTTCCCTACTTCTGGCCTCCCTGCTGTGGTCCCCAGAGTATGTCACTGTTGTCACAGTCTGCTGAGCAGCAACCCCTCCTTGGATCCTGAGACAAGTCCCGAGACCCTGACTCCACTGTTTCGCCCAGGGTTCAGTGGCTGGAGAGGAAAGGTGGGAGCCTACCTCGAATGTGGTGGTGGTGGCCCCAAGGCAGTGGTTCTCCTTGCATGTTCCAGCCCCTTAGACAGTGCAGTGGAGCTAGAGGGGCTGGTGCCAGTGCATTTCCAACAGGGCTCACAAAGGGCAAGTCAGGGAGTAGGCATTGATGGTGGTAGATGGGGGAGGACCAGGGGTATGATTTAGAACACAAGAGGGTATCCCATCTGCTTTAATCAGCTAGGGACTATTTCAACCAAAATGTTAGGTTGAATCAAATCAGCCAGGATGAAAACAATTTCAAATGTGAGGAGGAAAAGTGGGATATTACTTAAAAAACAAACAAACCACCCAAAACACATTACAGAGGTAATACATGTTCTCTGTAGAAAACTAAAAAAATACAGAAAGGTATACAAAATTTAAAAATCATCTGTAATATTATCATCTAGAGATGAAATGCTGGTTTTTTTGCAATACTTACATGTCTATATCTACATATAATATGTATGTATATCTATATCTATATTTGTTGTATATATGGATATGTAAATTTTTTTGAACAAAGATGGAATCTTTTGCTTTTTTACTTGTGAACACCTTATCAGGTCATTATAACATGCTTCTCATTTCTACACAGTGTTTTAATGAGTGCATATGGATAAACCATGATTTAACAGTCTTGCTGTCTGTGGACATTAAGGTTGTTCTCAATCATTGTTATAAACAATATCATGACTAAAGTCCTGGAAGCTGAACCTTTGTGCATGTTCCCAGGCACACTATTTCCTTGAGAAATGGATCAGTGCTCATGCACATTTTTAAGATCTTGGTACATATTGCTGAACTGTTGTCGAGAAAGGTCCTATCAACACTATCAGAGTATATTGCTCTAGAAGTGTAGGAGTGCCAACACGGAGGCCTTATCATTTTGGAAAAGCTTGCCAGTTGGTGAGGCAAAAATGGTATCCGAAAGAGTATATTTAGTATTGTAAGGACATATGTGGGCAGATGGATGACAAGCTTTCATTGATTATTTGTCTTCTGATATCACACTCTGGAGTTGGCGGGCCAGCGGGTAGCATGTGGAGGGCAGAGCCTAGCGCAGGAAACTCAGTGGGGAGACAAGGAAGGCCTTGGAGCTGAAATGCTGCTCTCTAGACTGGCGCGAGGACCCTGGCATTACCTCCATGAGGATGGGCTTTCACCTGGCCCCACTACAAGGAGGCATCAGGGTTTGAAATATAGAGTGAGCCTGGGAACAAGATGCCTATAATAAAACAGGAGAGATTTCTTGTGAGAAGGTTTCAATTTGGAATGTGACATCTTGTGTCAAGGGATAGGAGATTTTGCTGTTTACTTTGTAATCTGTGTTTGCGTTGGCAGATGTAGGCAAACACGAAGAAAGAAAAGGTCACCTATAACCCTAATACCTGGAGATTACCTGGAGATTAACATTGCAGTCCGTCATTCAGGGTTGTTTTGTGGGAGTCTTCGGGAGCAGGTTGGAGTCCTAGCCTGCTTGTTTGCTTAACAGTAGTTTGGCAAACTTTCCACAGTTACATTCTACCACCTCATATCTACATAGATATATTTCCATTTCCTCTTGTTTAATATTTAGGTTATTGCGATATTTCACCATTCTCGCAGCCGTATCTTGGTGCACAGGGACCAGGTTTGTTAGTCAAGGTTGGAGCTGTTGGCTTGGTCATCTTCTGTATGGAGTATAGGAAATAGCACTGAGTGGGAGTAAGGAGACAAATCCGGGGACGGTACTTCAAAGTCTGTGTCCCTGGATAACTCACCATGTGCCTTTGAACCTCCCTTATACCTGGGGAAGACTATTGTTCAGGGAAGGTCAGAATCATGGTGCACTGACACCCTGGGAAGGCAGGGCTGTCACAGAGCCTCCCCCGTCTGGAACCCACCATTATGCACGCCATGGCAGTCCGCGTAAGGGAGACCCGGCCACCGGCACACAAATTCATGATCAGTGCCAGCTGAGCACAGGGCACCCAACATTTGTGGCCAGAGCTGCTCTTTCTAATCAGTGAGATACACAGTTTTGGTTAAAAAAAAAAAAAAAGAAAGAAAAAAGAAAGAAAGAATGTCTAGCTTGGGGCTAATGGCTAATTGAGATGATGAGAAAATGGTTTGGGTTTCCGTTTTTCTTCCAGTTGGTGGTTCTCCGCTAGAGACAGAGGCTGTACTTCTGCCCCCACTAATCTCTGTTTCTAGTTGTGATTTCAAAGTGCTGGCTTTGGAGGGGGCAGGCGTGCGTGGGCGTGCACGTGTGCGTGAGCGAGAGGCGAGAGGCTGCTTGATTGACGTAAGCAGACGGCTGGTGGCCTGAATGGAAGCTCCTCATGGCTGAGGCTGAGCTGCTGGCAAGGAACCGGCAAGAGAATGGGTAGGTTGGGTTTCTACAGCTGTTGTCCCAGCTGCAGACTAGGCCTGAGACAGTCCCTGGGGGAGAAGCACCATGTGTCCAGTTGGCACTGGGCCTGTAGATGTCCCTTGAGCTCTCGAGTGGTGATGGTGCAGTGCTGTGCCCGTGCCAGGGCTTTCCCGCTCACGGATGAGTGCTTAAGGTAAGAAGCAGGGCACAGCATACACCTAGGGACCCCAGAGGATCATTTCCAGGCCATACTTAATTCCAGACCCACCCGAACAATTGTGAGCCACAGGACTCTGCTAATCCTGGGCCATCTTTCCCCAACAAAGTCAAAGCCAGACTGACCCAAAGTCTTCTTCCCTGGTTTATAAGGTATATATACATAATTTTAGCCACTGAGTTTATATCCTGCCTTTACAAAAATTCTGGTCTTGCCTCCATTCCCTGCACACTATAATAACATTTCTCATGCTGGGGGCCGCCTCCAAAGGAAGGTAGTCAGAATTTCTGTGGGGGTTGTAGAGCTGACACTTTGGAGAACTACTCAGTGGTCAGTCCAGGTGAGTTTTAGGCAGTCGGAATGGGGAGGGGGGGGGGGCTCTGCTTCTCCTGCAGGCCCCAGAGGGAGCCTGAACCGTGGTACTCGGAGTGGGACCGTTTGTGGTGGCCATGGTGTCACAGAGAGCTGGCCTTTCTGGCTTTTCTTTGATGACACAGTGAGGGTGTGTGTGTGTGTTTAGAGAGCACACTGGCAGAGGCTGGGTGCTGCTTTTCTACTTCCCTTTGTTTGCTCCTGGGGCTGCTGAGGGGCCTCTGGCTCTTGGTTTTCCCACTGATGACAACCCTGACGGGCCGCTGTTGCAGCCAAGGGTGCAGTCCTTTTCCTCTTCACCCAAAGGGCTGCCTCCTTCTTGTGCCTTGCAGAAGCTCCCAGAGGAGGAGGAGGAGGAGAGCAACACCAGCAAAGCGCCCACCACTGTGTCTGAGGAGCAGCTCTGAGAGGAAAAGGTGGTGGCGACTCAGGGAACCAGACAGCACTCCCCACCTCTTCCGTCAGCGCCTACCGCCGGCACATAGGCCTTTGCCACAGCAGCTTTTCGAGGGAACCGGCTGGAATACTGGGGGCTTGGACGGCAGGGCCTCTGCCATCTGGAACCCACTCAAGAGCTTGCATGGTCTAGCTGGGGAAGATGGCACCTTCCACTGGGTGCCCGCTCCATCCCCGCCCCCCTCGCAGGCTGTGGGAGCTGGTGCTGGGAGAGACTGCTGGAGAGCCGTGGTGCCTTGTCTTCCCCCTTCCCCTCCAGCCCGCCAGGAGAGGGCCTGCAAAATTATCACGGAAAGAAAGCTTATTCAGGATATTAACTTTCTTTTTGGAATCATAAGACCCTTAGAAGCCCAGTTCTAGGGAGAGGCGGCTGCTCCAGAGAGGGGGTAATTTTGGGGTCATCACATTGTGGCTAATGTTCTGTGGGAGAGAAAGCACCATCAGAAAAACATCAGAACGAACCCATCAGGACTCGGCCTAGCTTCTCCTGCCCTAAGGCTGGGGTGTTTCCAGACCCTCTCCTAAGAGCTGATCAAACCCAACATCAATAAACTGACAGAAACTTTGCTGTGGCCGTGAAGGAGAAGCCTGTCTGGGAGGGTGACCTGCCTAGCAGCGTGAGGCTGCTTGTGAAAGTTCAGCCTTTGGGAACTGTGGTAGCTAGATTTGGGGACAGGATGGTTCTTCTCTACAAGATCTCTGCCCAGGGACTTCTTTGTGTGTGTGTTGTCGTCACCGCCGATGCCTTGAGAAACTGTCATCAGCCTTAGTGCTTCCTTTCTCTGAAGGGAGGGAAATCCCAGCCACCTTCCTGTAATCTTTCCTGAAAACTTTGTTTCATTCCACCCTGAGAAATCCACAGCTTCTGAGAGAGGAGAGGAAAGGGGCAGAAGGAAAAGGAATTGAATTAAGTGCCTTCTGCCTCCGGAGGGGATCATATTCGCACACCCAACCCCTCTCACCGTCCCCTTCCAGCAATCACCTTTTAATAGATGTTGTGAATGTAGAGGGATTCCCCCCCCCTTTTTTTTCTTTCTCAAGGGATTCCCTTTAAACCAACCCAGGGTGACCTCCTCGCCTGCCCAGCCTGCTGTCTGGCTCTCCTCATGGGCTGGGGTAGTGTCCCCCGAAAATAAGATTTTGAATCATTTCTCCTGCGCTGAGCAGCTGTGATCATGTCCATGGTGCTGCTGGGCTGTGGCCACTGCCTGGTCTGGGCATCTGGGGGCAGCCTGGGTTGGCAGGGGGGCTGCTGCCTGAGGGGAGCCGTGTGTGTGTGTGTGTGTGTGTGTGTACAGACATTCCAGATGTGCTGTAAGAGAAATTCACACTTCTGCTGGGGGAGTGTTGGGGGGTGGAAGAGAGGTGGAGAGGAAGCATGTCTTGCTTTTCGATAAGGAGAAATGTGTTTACTCTCCAGCTCCTTAAAACTTTTTAACAAAACGTTTACCAGATTGGTCATTCCTTTATTTTAAAAGTGTAAATTTGTATTTTCTACTTGTGATGCCAGGTGCCAGACAATAATAGATTCTCCAAGTGGCCTGCCAAGTCATTAGATGGAGCAGAGGTGTCTTGTGGTAGCCGAGATTCCAGCTCATTTGTGGGGCCTGGGCCCATGGGATGGGACGGGAGGGGCCTGGGGCTACAGCAGCAGTTCCCAGGGCCCACTGCAGAGGTGGATCCTCTGTTCACACAGATGTGACCCTCCCCACGGCCTACTGCTTCAAGACAAGGCTGGAAGACTGAATGTGGGCCTATGTGGTACTTTGTACCTCACCGGCCTGCACATGACCCTGCCTGCCTTCTGGGCTGTGTACACATGTGAATGGTCCACACACAGGGGGGCCGCTCAGAGCCCGCTGTTGTTTCTGGCTCTGCCTCAAAGTGTGGCTGAAGTGTTTGCTGTACGACTGCACCATCTGGCCCTGGCCAGAGTCCATGCTTTTGGCCTCTGCAGTTGTGTCACCATTTTTCCTTCTGAACTGTCCGACCTACGGCCACTTCTCCCTTCCCGGGCGGGTGGGCCTTACGCTGTGGCTTGGACATGCTGCTCTCAGTTTTCTGTACGTTTCTTTCTTAGTGAATGCACAGTGCCTGTGGCATTCTGGCACCATTATCTGTTAGCAGTTCTCAGCTGGAGAGAGACTCGACGAATTCTACTTTAAATCATCTTGAAAGGGAGCCAAGGCTGGCTGTTAAGGAATGATAATATTCATGATGCATTCTATTCTAAATCATCTCTTCAGATCCTTTGGGTCTTGTCTTGGCTTATCTGGAATTATGTTTCTATGACGTATGCTTAGAGCATCCAAATCCAGACCATGCATGCTTTCATTCACTTCTAAGGTGAGCTCCACGTGCCTCTAACTCACATGCTAACTCTGTAAGATCACTGCTTCTCTTACTATCTCTTGACAATAGTTGGTGGGTCCCTGGGTCCTTGAACTGTCCTACCAATTAGGGTGTATTTGATCAGCAAAAAGCTGTGATTCTCCTACACTCTGGCTCGGAGAGGGGCAGGAGTGCTCCTGGCTTAGGGGAGATCAAAGTACAAGGACTGATCCAAGCAGAGGATTTTTCTATTTATTACAAAATTTGTTACACAAATAGAGCTGACCAGAAGGTCTAAAAACAGCCCAGACTCTTCCAACCCTGATCCACTTGTAGACACAAGTATACGAGCCATGCTTACTCACAGGGGAGCCCTTCTTAGAAGAACTGCCTGTTCCTCGGATGGCTCAGAGTCTTGGGGCCAGCAGCAGAGAGGAGCCCAACCTCGGGGGGCGACCTCCTGAAGCAGCCCTTGGTGGCAGCTGCTCTGGGTGGCGCAGCAGCTGTAAGTTTCATAGTTCACGTGTTCCCACCACACAAGTCAGAGGAAGGGATGAAAATAAAGGGAAAAAGCAGAAGGCTGGAAAAGGGATCCTGGAAGAGACTGTAGGTAGAGGAAGGGCACATAGTGGGTTTCTGAGGTGCTGGACATCTCTTGATCTGGGTGAAGGGACAGAGTATTCAATCATTTAAAAGGATTCTTTCATTTGTATGTACACATTATATTTTCTGTATGAAGGTTGTAGCTTAAAAATTTTTTTAAGTGTAAGAAAAACCCCAAACCTAAAAGGCTAGGAGTGGTAAGAGGGCTCAGGATGGAGCAGAAAGAAGAGGATGGAGGATGAAGGAAGGGGACGGAAGGTGGAAGACGAAGTCTCAGAGGTGGTTAACGCCGGCCTCAGTTTCTCTTCTTCTGTCTGGATACTGGTTCGACTTCTAGGTACCGGAGGCCAACTAGCATACCCAGGATTGAGAAACCTTAAGTAAGAGAAAAGAAAGGTGGCAGACATCAGCACAGCACTTTCTTATCCTCTTGTATGTCTGCTCTCCCACCCACGGCCCTAGGGTACAGTTCCCATAGGAGGCCTGGGGGGCAGGTGCTTACTTGCCACCATCAGGGGGGCCAAGACGCCAATCGTGGGAGCTGCGGTCCCAAAGACAAACAACTCGGACAGGAAGTGCCCCAGGGCGAGGAGGAAGGTCCAGAGTGTGATGTGGTACAGCCTACAAAGGAGCAGACAGAAATGGGAACTGGAGGCCTGCTTGTTCAGTGCACGGGACAAGCAACGGTCCGATTCCCGCCCCCCCAACGTCAATCCAGACTTGGGCCCAAGAAAGACCCATCTGCTCCACTACACTAATATACCCTCTACTAGGGCAAAACTGAAGGCTTCAAGGGCTAGACTGAGAGGAGAATGGTCCTGGCATCCAGAGTGGGTCTCTAAGTCATAGCAAGGTGGTGAAGCCAGCCAGAGCAAAGCAGAGTCTGGGTTATGGCACTCCTAGCAGTATAGACAGCTGGGGAGCAATCACGCTTACACATTCTACTTACTCAGACTGGCTTGGCTCTGTGGTCCAAGCCCACCTGGTAGGTGTTGGACCAGGGGCTGGTCAGTGCTCAGAGGATGGATGCCACAGAATGAAGGGCCTGAGTGCGGCATGAGCAGTGAGGACCTCTCTGGGGCTTTTAGATGCTCTTGCCATGCGGGCTGTTGTTATTTTGGGTCTTAGCCTGGGAACATGATCAGGTGGAGGACACAGTGATAACCTCATGGGAAGAGAATGTGTTCCTCAGTTTTGACGAAGAGGTGGAGGGGAGAAAGGCTACAGGATGACTGACCACTTAGATTGGAGATCTCTTTTTTTTTGACAATGACATTTTTAAGATTATGAAATATTGCAAAGGTACAAAAAAGCGTTGATGATAGAATACTATAATTAACCCATTTGCAACCAATACCCTGCTCCATCCAATCGGGATGTTTTGGCATTTTTGCTCCAGATACTTTTTTCTAAGAAATGAAATATCACAGATATCAGTTAAAGCATTCTATGTATCCCTATCCCACCCAGACCCCATTCCCCTGCCTTCCCCTCCCCAGAAGGAACGGATATGTTAAATTTCAATTTTATCATTCCTGTGCATGTTTTTATACATTTAGTAAATATGTATATATGGGTGTTGATTTTGAATTTCTGTTTAGGGAGGAAATAGAATCAGAATGTATTATCAGAAGAGCATGTACGAAAGTCCCAGGTTACAAAAGGCTAGAAACAGAAGTCCACATTGATGGCTATCCTGTGTCAGGACAAGGGGAAATGAATGGGATTATTTAATTCTTTCGCCCTCCTAGTCACCCTGCCCTCAGATCTACTAGTCTCATTGTATACATAAAGAGACCAAGAGGCAGAGGTCAACAGCTGATCCCCTGAACAACATGGGTCCACTTATATGTGGATTTTTAAAAAAACACATCGTAGTACAGTACAGTAAATGCATTTTCTGTTCCTTATGATTTTATGAGTAACATTTCCTTTGCTCTAGCTTACTTGATTTTAAGGATACAGTACCTAACACATAAGACACACAAAATATGTCTTAATCAACTTTCTTATCAGTAAGGCTTCTGGTGGGTAGCAGGCTGTTAGTATCTAAGTTTGGGGGGAGTCAAATCTATATAGTGGATTTTCGCTGTAATGAACTTTTACAGCTCCAAAAGGAGTTACTAACACAACGGAGACAAGAGCCCATTTTCTTGTTTTCATGCCTGGGCCCCAGGCTGTTTCTACTGCTACTTTCACTGGGAACCATACTGCTTCCCAAAACACATGTCAGTGTAGAATGAGTCAAACCATAGTTTCAAGTTCAAAAAAAATTTTAAAAACTTGGAGAGATCACAGAATTAACAGCCCTGCTTCAAATCCCACTTGAGTCAGTCTTCCTTAGTTCAAATTAATTGCGTCTCTAACATGTAGATCTGCAGACTCAGGAATGAAAATCATTACCCCCTCCCAGGGCTGCTGGGAGACTTAATCAAGGTCATGCAGATGAAAGCTCCAGGCAGCATCAGGAGTGCTCAGTAAATATCATTACCTCCTCTTTTTCCAAATGCTGAGAGCTTAGATATGGCAGAAAAATATTTTGGTGTGAAGTTGACATTTTGGTGGCCTCGGCCAGTGATCTGAGCAGACTTCCCCCTTTTGACTGTGGTGAGGATGGTTGGAAGGGAAGTTC